GAACGGTTATTGATGGGGGAGAATGCCGGAGGTTGAATACGGCGGCGTTTATGATCCATGGAATGATTCATATTGCTAGGGAGGACGTCATGTGTGCGGCGCATAGCCACAGTATATATGGGAGGACGTGGGCGGCTATGGGCAGGGAGTTAGATATGTTGACGCAGGATAGTTGTGCGTTTTGGAAGGATCATGCGATTTTTGATCAGTTTGGGGGGGTGGTTATGGGGCAGAGTGAGGGAAAGGCGATTGCGAAGAGGATGGGGAGTAATAAGGTTGGTGTTGTTCCCTAATATCTACTAGATGTCAGTGGTTTAAATTGATTGTTGACTTACCTCGCTGCTGGATGGATAGGCTGTGATCTTGCAAAACCACGGACTCTTGACAGTTGGCCAGTCGATCGAGGAAGCAGTGTATTGGTTTATATCCATGGAGAAGTGTTGTCAGACGCAGCTGCTAGCCGATGCGGCTGCGGCAGGTAGAGGGTATCAGACAGTTAAGATTGGCGATGAGGAGGCGGAGGTTACGCATAGGATTGTGGGGATGCCGACTGCTGGATATTTCAGCGGGCGTGCACTGTTCGAGAAGTTGATTAAGGAGGAGGGGAAGGAGTTTGATGATGAGCAGTAACTGGTTTTTCTGTGAGGGCACGATTGGCTGAGTCAAGCTCGCATGATATTTGCCTTGAGTCTACGGTGGGTGTCGGTTTTGAGCCTTTTTCTTGTAGGTCTACATACGGCCGGTATATTTTATGGGTGCTGAGCATCCCTAGGTGAATAAAGATAAGTTATGTCCACTATACTTATGTGAAGACTTGGAATGTTGATTATGTTGTTCATGAGGTTTGTTTAAGTGCGTGCTGCTCGTCAATATACCTGCGTTTGTTGTATGTGACTAAAAGCATTGCTCAATTGGATTGACAAATGCCACAACGTCTCGTGGACGGGCCCGGGCCCGGGGCCGAATTGATATATGTGTGTGTCACAGTGTGTGTGTGTGTGCGACGTGACAGGAGCTTAAGGAGGTAGATTCAAATCCGGTGATGGGCCCCAGGCCCGGGCCTCGGTGGTTCCCTCCTACTCATGCTGATTCTTGGAGGGCGGACTCATGATTGGGCTGTAACTACCACTGTTAGTGGTAGCGTGGTGGACGGCCCCGGCCCGGGCCGGCCCTTCAAGACAGGCTATGATAGAAAGAGAATGAAAGTGTGTGCCCGGTGTTACAGTACGTACGTGTTGACAATCCTGATTGTCGACGTCAGGTCGGCACGTGGTGTTGCATGTTGGGCGGGCTGACGTGCTATGCTGCTCAATTCTGCTTGAAGTTGGGAAAAAAGGAGGGTTGAAATCCGAGAGTTGGATCAAGTGCAATGGGGTGAAGTTTCTGGCGTTGGGCTGGGGTTTCGAGGAGGATACACATGTTGAATGTACCGTGTTAAAAGAATGCAAGAATCTGGTTGCAAGAATGCCATACGCGAGGATCCAAGACCAGCAGTGAAGTAGTGTGTAAGTCAGTGCCTATCCGGAAGATGAGCATGCGTTATTGGTAGTCTGGCTTGGGAGGAGCTAGTGCAAGCCAGACTACGTTATTGGTTAGTCTGGTTTCCCGTGCTGATCAGAGGATAGCCTAGTCTCATGCCAAGACTCTAGTCGATCGCATAGGCCCTTCATGTTGGAGTGATATGCGGTTGCTTATGGCTTGTGCCAACCAGACTAATGACGAGAAGGGCTTTGTAGGCAGCCACTTAGCGTATAGGGTTAACCGCTTAGGGAATAGGGTTTCGTGGTATGTCACCTAAGTGCCGTCTGCGTATTCAAGCAGTTTCATATTTTTCCCTTTTTGTTTCTTTTATATTAGAGGTATTCACCGTTAGGTTGTACGCCTGTATTTTTGCGAAAATACGAGGGTCGAAAATACGACCGTACTTCGTACTAAGTACGCATCACCATAGAAAAAAATATACGTGCAAGACCCTATTACATCTGCAAATTTACGCTCGTATATCTGCAATTTGTGTGAGAACGTATAAATGGGAAGATCTGACTAAGATTTGACGCTAAGATAAGCGTGAGTGGCTCAACGCCAAGCACCGAGGTTGATTCAACCAAAGCTACCCCAGACTAACAGCATACTAGCACAGCACACTACACTGGCACAGCCATGCGATGCCACAAATTAGGTGATCATTGAATGGTTTCTAGAAACCCTTAATACTGAGATCGAAAATCAAAGCTATGAGCGATTTCAAAAGTTCTTTAAGGCAAAAATGGGCAAGTTGTTGGGACCAAGGGGGAATAACGATGAGGGCAGCCTAAGCTGCGGAGTGAGTCTTAGTGGGGTAGTAAGTGACGGGTCGATTTTCGGAGGCCCAATGGATGCAAAGAAGAGAAAGCGCAAAAGGGTTACAGGTTCTGCGATATCTACATGAGATCCGCTATTTGAGAGAAAAGCAAGGACTGGCAAAAAGTAGAACATGGTATCACGATATCATCGTCCGGTATTGCCAACCAGACTACGTCCGGTAGTCTGGTTTGTGTCGTAGGTACTGCTAGGGGTAGATGTAGTCTAGTGCATGCCAGGTTTTCTACAATTTGCTCCTAAAGCAAACATCATCACGTAAGCTGCACTGCCATAATTCACCAGCCATCCGAAGTCACGTTGTAGTCTTGGCAACGCTAACCTGAGCCAAGCCTTCATATATCTGACCCCATCTTTATATTGAGAATATGAATCGAAATACGCTGTACATGTACGAAATTTAATCTGGGTATTCAATCCTCCAAGTACGATGGGGGGTCACCCGTACAACCTAACTTTAAATACCCCAATTATGTACAGTAGAACTTCGTTACAAGCATGTCATAGGGGCGGTCGAACCCCCATTCTTATAGCGAATATATGCTTACAACAATATGAGTAGTTAAATGAACATATGTATGTAAAGGGGAAGGGGCAGGGAACGACGTAGTGGTTAGAAAATCCGGTAAAGCCATTGCTCGAGGATGCGCTCCCTCGTCATAGGTTTAGGACAACCGAGTACTGAATTGATACAAAAAAAAAAAAAAAAAAAAAAAAACCTTTCGAATGCTTCTATGAAGGATTCAAAAGTTGCTGAAGGTACAATGATATATCATTATTCACTTTTTTTTCAGATCTAGACCTGAATACATTATTGCACCAGAATTCCAGGGCAATCAGGTACATCACAAGAGACATTCTGGTAAGCCACCTTATTGGGGAAGCGTTGATCAAAAGGTATTCATCGCAAGTGTGAGTGAATGATTTTCGATTAAGACAGGCCAACGCGTACGGCTAGATAAAGTACAATAAGAGCAAACTTAAAGGATCTGTCATGACGACCAACAGAAAGCGTCTACAAAGACAGCTTTTGCCTGTCAGTAGATTCCTAAATGCGATACGATACATACATATCAAAAAGCCTTGACGGCATCAGTTCAACCATTAATATTGCAGCTTCCAGACACCCTGGTCCAACGATATACAACCCCATCGGTAGTCCCAAACCTCCCTGGAGTCGGTCTTCGCATACAGCGCTGGCTGTCTCACATTCAACGGTGCCCCTAATTGGCCTATTCAAAAGGGACACCCCATCATTCTCAAATCGGCGAATGAACCGGGTATTAGGATCATGAAAAGAAAACCACTCAGCATGAGAAATGAGTTCGAGATGTGGTTTTGAGCCTATGTAGAAGTTTACTTTATCAGAAAGGTGTTTGTTAGTTATTTGGTGGATTATACGCTACATACTTGAGCAAGCTCGTCTAGATTATAACTGGTACCGTATCCACGTCGAGCCCCATATGCTATTTGTCATATCGTGGTGCATTTAGCTTCGGATCTGGCGGATAACTTGCATTGTCCCTGAAACCACCCGGGTTCTCGGTTGGCTCTTCATGGTCCCCTTACTGGGACCGAATAGCAAAAAGAAAAAAAGCTGCTCGAGCCTCGAGAAGCTCGAGGATAGCCCAATGCCCTCCCTGGATTGCAAATAACAAGTGGGGCATAATTTTTGAACTGGGCCACATCCACCACTCCACAAAAGCAGCCGCACAACAGCCTCATGCCCACTTATAGCTGCCCAGGTCAGTGGAGTGTAGCCATCTGTATTCTTTGTGTTAACATCCGCATCCTGCAGCCGTACAACAGCCTTACGACCTCTCATATTATCGTAACTTTCATCATTTAAGTTGATACAGTAGTACCCCTGCCCAGTCCAGTGGCATTGAGCCATCTGTATCTTTTGGGTTGACGCGCCCCACAAGCAGCTATAAGTACACCAGTCTTATACCCGCTCTTAGCTGCCCAGGCCAGTGGGATAGAGTTATATCCATCCTTTGAGCTAACATCTCATATCTTCCCACTCCAGCAATCCAGAAATTATTTTGGCTTAGGAATTATGCCTTTGTCAAGGTTGATATTTCTGTGCTTGTTTTGCTCCAGAGCCACAACAAGTGTATGCTGTAGCTGCCCTAATTCTAGAGGCTTGGGGGCAAGATGTAGCCTCATGAGGACACTCATTCACCAGAGTTATCCTAGTCTGTTATTCGTCGGTTCGTACTAAGTCTGCCCAGGATACCGAAGAAATTCTTCCAATATTAGAGGAGGGCTTATATCACATGCATGGCTCCAATAATTTAGCAGACATCAGGTATTGTGTCTTTGATAAAGGTATGTTCCAGCACTTCAAGTTCTTAGATATGCCATATTCTAGGAGAGAAAGAAACGCAGAATCTAAAAGCCCTTACTATGGCCTTTGGCGATTCGAGTTTATCTCACCAAAAGTTTAGATCAAGCCCAATGCCACAGAACGCAACCTTAAAGAGAGACCAAGAGGCGGTTCAAGTATTTAGCACTTTATAGCTTAATCCGTACACTTCCCAATACAAGATGCGGTATTTTCTTTGTAACGAATACCTATTAATAGTTGCTATGTGTTTGCGATTGAGAGTTGGCTACTTCAAAAGTGCAAAAAGATGGTTCGGTACTAGAAAGACTCGAACTTTCAACCTCCCGGTATTGCTGTGTGAACGGTACTCACATAACAGCCGGACGCGCTAACCAATTGCGCCATAGAACCAGACATGTGATGTTAACAAGTGGAAAGTCAACATGTTTAGAAAAAAGAAAAAAGAGATTTGGCAAATAGTAATTTTTTGCACGGGTCTCTCTGAATTAATAAATTAATCTAATGTGATTTAACCATAGTTTCTTAATGCGCAAACAGACGTATCCGTCTGTAGCCAGTGCCAAAATTTAGCTCAAGAGGCATATGCTGAGGCCTCGATGCTCCCTCTGCCTGCAATCATCTCCTTGATACTCTCATACGCATCGTCGTCGATATCCAAAAATCGCATCTTTAGGTAAGTTGAAAATTAGTCATTATATAAAAGCAAAGAAATGAAATAATGACTGTGAGCAATGACTCCTGAGCAAAAGCAAGAGCAACTCACCATCTCTTCATTCCCCAATCCGCCCCCACCTCTACCAACCCCCATCCCACCATATAATACGCCCTCACTTTGACTTCCGGTAACACAGCCATTGACCTTCTCTAACCATACTCTGTGACTTTCTTCTTTAGCATCAGCCTTGCTTGCTTCCCGGAAGGCCCTCCATGCTCGCCATGCGCCCAGGTTCGCCGCTAGGTGGGGCGGAATATCGTCCAGGACTGACACTGACGAGAATACAGACTTCAAGTAGTATAAAACCTGGAGAATACTCTTCTCCTTTTCTGGAGGAGGTGAGTGAATGGATGATGCTGAGTTCAGGGCAGGCCCTAGTGGTGCAAGGGGAGGATTAGGAGGAAGCTTTTTGCTGCCGGGAGATGTGGTTGTCTTTGGAGATGGAGTAGAATACCAGTTCGGAAAACCGTGCTTTAGGGTGAACGAGCCGGGGGGAAGATTCGAAATATTCTGATTGTAGTTAACGTGCGCTGCTAGGGGTTGAGGCTGTGACTTTCCGGGGCTAGAGTGGGTTGACGAGGAGGAAGGGGCTGGAGGAGGGGTTGGGGGAACGATAAGCGGGTGGTAGATGTCGGACAGAAAGGTTATTATGGGTGGATGTGCGGGATAGCTGGTTGGGAATAGAACTGTGAACTTCAGGATAGCAGAGGCATATGGTCCTAATCAATTCGACATTAGACCTGCAGAGATGAGGTAACTTGTAGCTCGCTAAGAACCTTTCCGAACGAACATAACTCCCCACCATAACCTAGGCTCTTGTGGAGATAAAGACATATATATCCCCTGTGGAGCGGCATATTTGAGACTTGCGCTGTTGTTGGAAAACGGTGATGTTAGCACTCCAGCAACTGGAGGAGTCGGGGCGGCACGAACAACTCGATCAGCAAGTTCTGCCGGCGAAACGCGTAGTCTGAGTTTAGTGGCTTTGGCATGCTTGAAAGGTGTGCGAGAGCTGTATGCCAGTGGTATTGGAACTCGCTGTGGAGCGTTGAGCGATAGGGCAATAAGCTTAACTGCAGGGCCTCCCGCCAAGTCGTAGTGGGGTGAAACAAAACCCCAAAACATCAGACAGGATTGTTAAACATCGACGGCTGTTACAAAATCTACTCATAAATAATAACACATTTCTTTCTTGAAACGCCTCAAGACAAGAGTGTTTTTTTTTTCATCATCATGCGTCACTCACGAGGGCTGATTGTTTTGAATTTTTCAAGAAATAGGCATTCTCTTAACAATCTCCAACGCTGTTCATATCCTGTGCCAGTCATGTACCAGATATGGGTGCATACTATGTACTTATTCAGCTTCGCTCATTATGAATACAAGGAAAATACCACGAGACTATGCCTTTTCCCCCCACCACCTCCCCCTTTCGATTGTTCATGAAGATACTCGCATAATCCTTTCTACCCTCTGCCGAAACTAAGCAGTCTTTCCCTGACTCCATTTTCCACATCTTCCTGAACTCCTGCTGCATCTTCATTCGCTATTCGGTCTCCCGCTTCTCTCACCACCTTCTCCCAGTCACAAAATAATACGGCTACAGTCTGCACCATAGCAACAACTGCCAAAGCACAGGTACACCCTGCCCACAACCCCCGGATGCCCCACCCAAGCTTGAAACTTGTGTACAGACTGACCGGTATTGCCAGTCCATAATATGCCGGAATTTTGACAATTCCAGCAATACGCTGTCTCCCCTGCCCCTTTAATATCCCGCCTGTCACACTGGCAAGCACATCGACCACTTGGAAGGCAGCACAAACAGGCAACGCCTCTGCCACAAAAGCAATAACCTCCTTGTCCCGGGAAAACATCTTTCCAGCGTGTTCCCGTACAGCAATAAGTGCAACACAGTCAATGACTCCAAAAACAATGGCAATTCCCATCGCTACATAAGCAGAGCGGCGAGCGGAGGTGATGTTTCCAGCGCCAACGTACTGAGCGACGGCATTACAGGAGGAAAGTGACATCCCGAAAGGAAGCTGGTATATGAAACTCATCATAGTTGCCAGGATAGCGTGAGCTGCCATTGTTGAGGTGCCGAAATAACTGGAAAATAGAGTTAGCAATTCGACAGATATGAACTCAGACCAAATCATCGCTATCCCAGGTAGAGTAAGAGACAAAATGGACTCCCAGTTCGTGAAGACACGCAATGTTAGAGGATGCCAGCATTTGCTGCCTTCTATGAATATTGCATAGTATGCAAGGCATAGTGGCATCAGCCAGTTAGTAATCACCACTGCAGCAGGAGCACCATAAAAACCAAAGCCCAAACCAAGGAACTCGCCCGACACAAGTGCAAAATTCATAAATGCATTGAGTGGGGCAAGGAAGGCCAAAACGGCAGTTGATGCATGAGGAATGCTCTGTGCTTGCATATATCTCTTGCCAGCCTCGAAAAGGGCATATCCCGGGGCACCCAAAAATAATATTCGCAAATAACCCCCAGCAAGTTCTACAACTTTCTTTTCTTGAACGATGAGTCCAAGAATGGAAGGCGAGGACATCCAGATGCAACCAATTGGAACCGAGGTGAGCATTAATAGTATCACGCAGCGTTGGAGATGAAGCCCAACCTCTGTGTACTGGCCTGCACCATAGGACTGAGCACAAAGTGTTTCCAGCGCTGTCACGAAGCCTTGATATAATGCATAACCCTGTTAAATCTGATTAGCAGTCACAAAAATGGTGAGAAATATGTTAGGGAATAATACCGTTAAATTGGCGGTTATGGTAGCCAAAGAAACTGCTGCTAGCTCATCTTTCCCAAGCTGTCCTGCGGAAAACTGCCTGCTAATCAATATCTTGCAGAATAGATTTCAAGCTGCCTTGCTATACTCACCACTGAGGCAAGAGTAAGAGAATGCTGTAACAGGAAGCCTACGATCAACGGGGCCTGTACGACATGGTCAGCCAACCCGCATGATTGAAATTCGATGTTGTGGCCTACCGAATTTCTAACCAAATTGAACAGCTCGAATGGCCAGGTCAAAGCAGTCTCCGCCAGCTTTATTCCACTTCCCAAGATATTCGCTGCTACACCTTCATTGCCATCACTCCCATCTTTCAATATTTTATAGGCAATCCCAATACCCCCTTTTGATATTGCCCCATATTCCATTGTCCCATTGGACTGAGAGTTACTGGAGCTTGAACGGGAAGTTTTGGGTCGACTATAGAACTGAGAAATTAAAGCGCTAGTGGGTAACAGATTAGTACCTGCAGCTGTCCCCTTAGACTCAAATCTGTTCAGCATGCCGTTAGCAATCCTGACTCACCACGCTGAAGTCAGAAAAACCCACTCAGTGCTGCGGCTCCCTACTATTGATAGTAGCAATGTGTTCGTTACATTTTCTATAGATACTATATCACCTAACAGGGGGACACTCTCTTCGCTGGGAGTCTGCTTAGAACTACCTGGCATCGGTACACTTGCATGAGACTCGGACCTGTTGCAGCATTACTTTTAGCTGAGGTCAGAAAAATCTCAGAGGCCAACCCACCCAGTGTTGCCACTCCCTACTATGGATCGTAACAGTGTATTCGTAACATTTTCCACAGATATTAGATCGCTTAACAGGGGGACATTCTCTTCGCTAGGAGTTTGTTTAGAACTGTCTGGCACTGGTCCACTCCCTACTATTGATCGTAGCAATGTATTCGTAACATTTTCCACAGATAGACCGTCTAATAAGGCAACATTCTCTTCGCTGGGAGTTTGTTTAGAACTACTCGGCATTGGTGGTCCACTTGCGGGACTAGGCACGGCATTATTTCCCTCTTCACCTGGTAGCAGCGACGGCATTTCAAATAAAATGATGGGAGGTCAAGAGATTGCTTTGGGTGGGCTTCGTCAGAACACTAAAGTGGGAGGGGAATGCCATAATCTCCAGCAGGAAATGACTTGCGAGATAGTGGACAGAATTAATAACATGGCATTGGCCGTACAGAGTCTATACACGAAGCAGAAATTCTTCGAATCAGAAAAACAAATTGTTATGTACCAACACGTTATAAAGCAGCCATTATAATGTTCACAGCAGAAATAAACTACCTAGCCTGTTTTGTAACGGCTTGTTCAACATCATGTACCGCAAAAGGTAGTCTGGTTGGCAGAACTTGATAGTCTGGTTGGCACAACACCCTCAGAACTTGATCAAATACGAGATATAAACACGAACGATGCATATGTCCTGGACGGAGGCGCCTATTTATTGGGACACCTGTGTTTAGCATCTGTCAGTTCATGCAAGTTCCATGCAGACCTATCGGGAATTGATATCAAATAAAAAAGGCACAAAAGCGATGGGTACGAGAGTACCCAATAGTTTCCCGGAATGCGAGACGCACGCCAGAGCCAATTAGTAGCCTTTGACGTAGGTGCACGCAGGCAGATATACGTACCGTATATCTGGTGCCCGAGTTCGAGCTTATGTTGTTACGTGAGGTAGAACGGTATACTGTAGGTACAGTCGTCAGCCCAAATATCGATAACGATCGTCGGCGGATTGAATTTGGAGTTGTAGTTGCGCTATTCCACAATCGGTAATCCTGCCCTAACCATGGACTACCACAAATGGAAAGGTACTTGCTTTCACTGACCACATGG